GGGATAACATTTAGGCACATTTCCCATCACCCTTTATCTGGACATATAATATTTTGTATATTTATTTCCTTTTCAAAATCAAAGTCCTTGTTCTTTCTGCTGAGCAAACATTTGTGTTTTTCACTTTCCCTGCAGGTGTTTTCTGCATTGTCTCAGTCACTATCCCTTTGCATCCTGTTCTTTCTCTCTTGCTGCTCCATCCTAGCACCTGGCCTGGGATACAACCCAGTCCAGAACCCCCACCAGCACCACCACAGGGGATGGTCCAAAGTGAATGGGACCCCCTCTAGGTGATGCATCAAGAGGATCTGCAGGATTTTGTCTGTTACATTTAACTCTGCCTAACACTATGAAAATCCTTACTCATAATGATTTGATTCTGGTGACTATATCCTGGGGCTACTAGACACAAAACAGTGTTGTGACTTTTGATTGTATAACTACATTTATATTTCAGTTTGTGCCACTTGAAAATGCCACGAGTGGTGTAATAATCACCCATTTTGAAAGCACAGGCCAGGTTTTATTTGTGCTCCCAACATCCTACATAGTATGAATGAATGAATCCATGGAAAAATAATTTAGTCAACTCAAGAAATTATATGTTCTCTGGAGGCATCATCACAGAGTGGTGAAGAGAGCACAGGGCTGACAAGCCAGGTCTCTGACTCAGCTCTGTTCTGTGTGATCTTGAGCAGATTAAACCCCCTCTCTGAGCCTCAGCTTCCTAATCTGAATTTATACAAATGTATACCTGTCTCATAGGTGGCCATGAAGATCAGCCACAATAAAGGACATGAAAGTGCTTGGCAAAACACAAAGTGAGGGGTCATTACTGTAACCCACCCCAGTCCCAAGCTGAGGCTGCCTCCCCTGCCTACACTGGGGCCAGAACCCTTGCCCCTGATGTCTCCTCACTGCTTAAGAACATCTTATAAAATCTATCTTGTCATTTAATTACAAAAGAGCTGAAGTGTTCATTATAACACACTCAAACCCAGACCGAACCATCGTTAAGGTAGCTGTGTGTTTGCTCCCAGACTTTGTGTGTGTGTGTATTTTCACAAGTCCACAGACCTTGAAGTTTTTATATCAGTGGGCTTGATGTTGTGAACTTTTTCAGTACTGAGCAACACATCATGGAGATCTTTCCCCATCAGAGACCCATTTCTTCCCTCCACCAGAGGCAGGGAGGGCGTCCTAAGGAGGGAGGAGCCACAGTTGTCGCCCACTCCCCCAGTGGATGGCCCCTTAGCGGGTCCCCAGTCTTTCAACCTGACCCACCATGAGAGTCTGCTCACATCACTTCCCTTCTGCCTTGTTACCCCAGAGGCACAGTGGGAAACCCCCGTCCCTCAAACACAGCACCCTCAGCGTCCCCTCCGTCCTCCTGCTCTCTCCTTCCCCATGCAGGCTCACACCTGCCCTGTCCCCCCCATGCACACTAGAGCATCTGCCCTGTCCCTGTTTCCTGCCCCCTAGGCTTTCTCTCAGAAGCTGGTGGAGCCTGTCTGTGCTTTCTGGAACTTCAGTATCAGGTAAGTTTCCCTTTCCAAGTTTTTAAAATAAGGTAACTTTTCAAGACACCCACTGTGCTTGGCAATGAGGTGGGACTTCAGTGTGGGTTTGGCCTGCATTCCCCATCTGCCTTGCTCTAGGACAAGCGGGGACAGGGAACAGTGTTACTTCAGGGGTAGTGAGCTCGCTGTCACAGGAGGTATGTGAAGGAGAGGTGCCTACAAAGGGGCTGATCTGGCAAATGGGTGTTAGACTTGATTACAGCTAAGGCCAGGGCCCAAGGGCACAGAAGGGGCCAAGGAGTCCAGGGATTAGTCCCAGCTCCCTCCTCAGATCTTTAAGGGAGGGAGTGAACACAGTCACAGTTGCTTAATAATTAACAAAGTGAATAAATGGCAATCACTGGCATCAGCCCCATCCTCCTGCCATCCAGAGCATGTTATACACGTTCTATAGATGGGAAACTGAGGCCCAGGGAAGGGCAGTGACTTGGCAGTGACCAAGTTCATATGGCTGGTTAAAGGCAGAGCAGTGATGGGCCCTAAGCTTTGGGGAGAGGCTTTTCCCTGCTTGCCACTGGCCCCCCACCCCATATCCACCCATCTCAAGAGCCTTCTGTTCCCTCCCCACACCCAAGCCCAGACACAGGGGGAGCCTGGGCCACCAGTGGCTGCTCCATGGCTGCCTTGTACCAGAACTCAGTCGCCTGCTTCTGCAATCACAGCACCAACTTTGCCATCCTGTTGCAGGTGTACGACGTCCAGGTGAGTATGGGGTCAGGCAGCCCTGGTGTTCAGCGGGGGTATTCTCAGCTGGAAAAGAAGGAAAGTGCCAACAGCTAAAGCTGTGGGGGGCCAAGAGAGGCCCTGAGGGCCTCCAACATTGACAGATGGGGGAGACAGACTCTAGGAGGAGACAGGGACCTGGCAGGGGGTGGGGGTGGGGGGAGCATTCACTGGAGCTGGAAAAAGACTGGCCACTTGCTGACAGATCAAGTTAGACCCGGCCTGAGCCTCAGAAAGCCCAGCTGACTTGGTGCATGTGAGCATGCTAGAGAAACATGATCAAACACATTTTTCCTGTAAAATCAGAGCACAGATATTTCCCCATGTCATAAACAACCCATCCACAGTCTCTAAGGACCACTTCTGTGGTTCCCCCATGGGTGGGGAACACGTGGGATTCCCTCCACCAGGCATGTCATAGCTTCCAGTTGAGCGCGCTTAGGAGCAGCTGAGTTGGTGAAAGCTGGGCTGACCGGGCCAGTGTAGGAAGAGCCAGCAGGAAGGAATAACACAGATGCCCACTTACCAAGTGCCTACTGTGTGCAGACCTGGGCCCTGCGGCTGGTACTGTCACCATCTCTGCTTTCCTCAGAGGTGAATGAGGCTCATGAAGCCTTGCAGTGGCCAAGGTCAGGTCGGGGTGGGATGGGGTCATTCTCTGTCCTTCCCTGCAGAGAAGTCCTGAGGAGGAGTCGCTGCTGAGGACTCTGTCATTTGTGGGCTGTGGTGTCTCCTTCTGTGCCCTTGCTACCACCTTCTTGCTCTTCCTGGTGGCCGGGTGAGGAGCACTTACCAAGAGGCCTGGTAGCCTCGGCCCCAACCCTGCCTGTGCCTCTCCGGTCAGGTGTCTGCCCTTGATCCCTGCAGATCCTGGGCCCCTGTGGGGCTTTCCTTCCTACCTCCATGTGGCTCCCCAGAGGCAGGGCAGAGCCTGGTAGACCTGGTCAACCGACTCCTCTGCCCGTCCAGGGTCCCCAAGTCGGAGCGAACCACAGTCCACAAGAACCTCACCTTCTCCCTGGCCTCTGCTGAGGGCTTCCTCATGGCCAGCGAGTGGGCAAAGGCCAACAAGGTGGGCATCCAGTGGGCGGCTTGTGAGTTCAGGGGAGCCTGGGAAAATGCCTATGGACTTTTCTAGATTGCCTTCCCCATTTTCATTGGGCTGCACTTCCTTGGGAAGGAGCAAGGACCAGGCAGGAAAGGCCCCAAACACTGGATCAAGGCCCAGGGCACTGCCCTCTCTGAACCAGCAACACCACGCAGGGCAGGGCTGCACCTGTGGCTGACCGTGGTGGGTCCCTGCCTACAGGTGGCATGTGTGGCCGTCACAGCTGCAATGCACCTCCTCTTTTTGGTCGCGTTCTCCTGGATGCTGGTGGAGGGACTCCTGCTGTGGAGCAAGGTAGTGGCCGTGAACATGCGCCCAGGCCCCAGGATGAGGCTCTACTATGTCACAGGCTGGGGTGAGAGCCCCTGCTCCCCACCTGCACTCTGTTCTCAACTGTGCCTGGACAGATACTGCTGCCACCCACGCCCAGTGCTGCCCAGTGCTCGTCTTCCCTCTCCATGCCCTCCAGCGGCCAGCACCTAGCACCACACTCAGTACCCACTACCCAGCGCTACCAGCACCATCTACCCCACTTCTCTAACACAAGCTCAGTTTTCCTACCCTGTCAACCTCTAATTTTATGGAACCCCAGTCTTCATAAACCTGCTCCACTTCAGCAACCTTATCCCCACCTCCAGTTCTGTTCCTACCAGTCCGTGACCAGCTGTCCCGCTGCCAGTGCCACCCTCTACCTCCACAGTTTCCCAGCCCTGGCTTTCTGTCCACCTCCACACCACTCATGGCTCCAGTGCCACCCCAACCGTACCAGGCTCCCTCAATTGCTTACAGTACAATTGCTGCTAAGGGACAACTGTGTGCTGCAGCTTTGGGGACGGGGTCAAGTCCTGGAGAGAAAAGAGTGGGCAGCATGGCCCTGAGGCTGCTTCTCCTCTCCCCAGGCATGCCTGTGGGCATCGTGGCCATCACCCTGGCTGCATTCCCTCGTGACTACGTGGCCCCTGGACACTGCTGGCTCAATGTGCACACAGACACCATCTGGGCCTTCGTGGGGCCTGTGCTCTTTGTGCTGACTGTGAGCTGGGAGGTCCCAAGGGTAGGGCCATACTGGGGACAGGGAATGCCTCTCACCCACTGACACCTGGTCTTCAGGTCAACACCTGCATCCTGGTGCGTGTGGTGATGGTCACCGTGTCCAGTGCCCGCCGCCGTACTCGCATGCTGAGCCCACAGCCCTGCCTGCAGCAGCAGGTCAGGATCCAGATATGGTGAGGCCCACACTGGGGTAGGCCAGCCGTTGCCAGGTGCAAGGCCATGTTGAGCTGACGTGGGTCCACACGTCCATGCTTATATGTCACACGTGCATATCAATGTGTGTAAGCATGTACCCATGTGTCATGTGTGGTGATGGTCCTTGATCCCCTGTGAGGCAAGTGTGAACACCAGCCACTGTCCTGGGGGCATACTGTCTATAGAAAGCACCCATAGTCTGGTAAGGACAAGGTCATCTCCAGAAGTTCAGGTGCAGGATGAGGACCCAGATCCTGCCAGGGATCCCCACTACTCTCTAGGGCCATGCTCTGCTATAGAGGGAAACTCGGCTGGCCTCCCCTCAGCCTTGCCTCCTCTCTGGCCTTCCTCTTCCCCACCCATCCTCCACTAAGGGCAGGGTAGCCCAAGCCAGTGGGTCTCTGAGAAGCCAGGGACCCCCACGAGTCTTTGGAGAAGGGAGAGGGGAGCCCTGCTGACTCCTGGTCCAATGCCCAGGCCTCAGCCCTCCCTCTGGGCAGCTGCCATCCCAGTCCTTTCAGCCAGGTTTGGGACTGGGACCCCATCTCCCCAGTGCCACCACCCGTACTTTATGCTACCTCTGGGTCTTTTAAAAGGGCACAACAAAGTCCAGTGAAAGGTTCTGGCTACACCTAAGTTCTGCCTGGCTATGGTCCTGATCTGCAGCTCCACCCCTCTCCTAGCCCTGTTCCTAGGCCCTGCAGGGAACTACCAAGGCTTCCCAGGCCCCTCAGTCCTGCCTGCCCTCCTCCAGGGCCACAGTGAAGCCAGTGCTGGTTCTGCTGCCAGTCCTGGGCCTGACCTGGCTGGTTGGCATCCTGGTGCACCGTGGCCCCGCCTGGTCCTACACCGCCATGGGCCTCAATGCCCTCCAGGTACCTGCAGGCCCTGGGCTGGCTGGGGCTAGAGCTCTGGGGGGCAGGGCTGGTTTGCTGGGGACTGGGACTCCAACCTAAGAGGCATTCAGCAGGAGCTGGGGATATTCTACCAAAAGGAGGGGCTTTGAGTGTGAGGGTGGGAGTGGCAACAGGTAACCTTGAATCACAGGAGTTCAAGGGGGAGGACTGTGTGGCCCACTGGACAGTTGAGGACACCAAGGCCTAAGAAAGCGACTTTTAGGGTTCATCGTGCCCTGACATTTAGAGTACAGCAGCAACTACAGCCCCCAGGCTGTACCAGAGCCACTTCGGTCCTCTCCAGGAGGTCAGGGGTGGGGTACAGGGTACCAGCTCCATCTCTTCTTGGGGCCTGTGACCAGCTGTGGGATCAGCACAAGCTGCTGGTCAGAGGACAGCAGTGTGGGGAGGAAGTTGGTGCTGGGCCCACATCGGGAGGAGGGGGACCACAGAAGAGTGCCTGAGCACCAACGTGTCCTGGAAACAGAAAAATGAGGCCAACTGGGTCCCTGTCCTCAGAGCTGTCAGGGACCTGGACAGGGACAGATAGTAGCCCCCTAAAGCACTGAGTGCTGAGAGAGGGGGAGGCCCAGGGAGGGTCCTTCTTGCCCCCTTGCTCTCCCCCTTGGCCTCCCTACACTGCCCCCAGGTCCTCTCCTCCACCTGCACCCACCCCCCCCTGCCCTCCCCAGCCTGGGTCCCTCTCAGGGCCCAGGCTAGACTAAGCAGACTCCATCCAGGGTCCATGTATCCTTAGAGGGGGCCTCCTAGGGACCCTCCATCTTTCCCTGGAAAAGGAAAGCCAAGGCATTAACAGCCACTTACAATACCTGGGTGCTTTTCAGAGACAAGCACCCAGGCATTGTAAGTGACTGGGCCGGGCTCCTGTTTATAACTCCTGACAAGCTTTACAAGTGGGGAAACTGGCTCGGCGCCTATAGCTCAACC